CACGTTCTGCATGGAGCACTGGGTGTTATGCACAAACAATGAATCATGGAACACTACATCTAAAACTAATGATGTAATGTATGGAGATTAATAAAATAAAATAAAATAAAACAAAACACCAAAATTAAAATCATATTGATATTATTATGGGGACTGTGTTAAATTTATACATCAATTTAGGGGGAATGGATTCTTTTTAAAATATGAAGGCATTTCTACCACCTCCCAATGGAATATACCTTTCTATTTGTTTAATTATTCATTTATGGTCCTCAAAATCATTTTACAACTTTCTTCGCAGAGATACTGTACCCTTAAGCTTTCTGTATTTTATGTTTCTAGTTCATGTAATTGATGGTTCTAGTTTGTATTGTAAAGGAAATCTCTTCCTCAAATACATATTCTATGTGATGTTTGTACATAGAAAAGCTATTGATTTTTGTGCAAGGTTGTATTATTTTTAACAGGTTTTTATAGGTTTTTCTTGGATGTTCAAGATTCAGTCTTATGCTATACAAATAAATGATACATTTGGCTCCTCAAAAAGCCAAAACAAAACACAAGAACAGGGACACGTCTCTCTCACACTTACACACACACACACACACACACACAGTCTCCCACATGCTGTGTACTCTCCCACACACTCAGGCAGACACACACACACACTCCTGGTCTAGTCGGCCAGACAGAGAACAGCCATGAAGCCAGCTGGCCTTCCTTTGGCCCGTAGACGAGACCAGACACTCTGAGCAGGACCCAGTCTCCTTGTGAAACCCCGCCTGGCGGGAAAGGCTGCGGGGAGGCGCTGACCTTGGAGAAAATGCCATCTGGATTTAAATACCCATACCTCTGTGTCAAGGCGATCTTCAGCTTGTCGTTCTCAGACTTGAGGTGTGTGTCAGCAGGACCCACATGAGAGGCCTTTTCATCGTCTGTCCCGTTGACGCTGGACACCTGAGGAGAAGACGGGGTTTCACACCCAGATTCCTGGCCAAAGTGAGTTACCTTCACACACTACTGCTCACAGTAGCAGCAAATCAGGCATAATGAGAAAGTGTGTTCGTGAGCCGGGGAGAACCAACTCATCAGAGCGCGGCAAAGACCAGCACGAGAGGCTATTAGTCACTAAATTCTACCTCTGAAACTTAATTAAAAAAAAAAAAAAAAGCACCATGGAAAAGGCCCGGAGGAGTCCAGGGGAATCTGAGAAAGTCTGTGAACTTTATTGACCAGAGTGCACCTGGGGCCCTGGGGCCATCTTGTTACTCAGCTTTACAGATACACTCGACAGGCTTGCGTACCTGGTCTCCCTTATTTAACACAGAAGCCACGGATGAGAGGGGGAGCAGGGGTTTACAACAGGGAACAAGAAACAGTGAATGAGGAAAAAAGAAAAAGTATTTTCAAAGCAAGGACAACTTACAGCCCCTGGGGCCAGAGAGAGAGCAAGACGCACAAAACAACCAGGGATCAGATATGGATGTGCGCACGGCCCCCACGGCTTGTTAGCATTATTATGAATATTCTGAAATAGTTTCTGTAATAAGTCATACCACAGGGAGGTAAAATCTCATCTGATCTTGGATAAGATCTTAGATCTTATTTAGCCTCCACTGAGCATAAAGGCAAAGGAAGGAACCATGAAGGGAATGATGCATACATTTGACTAACGCTAAATTTCTGCACTGTAAAAAAAAAAAATGTCATAAACAAAATAAAAAATGCACAAAAACCTGGGGAAAATATCTGCTGCTGAGCATTTGCATATATGAAAAATAAGATGTTAATACCTTTCCTATATTGAAAAACTCTTAGAGGCCTTGTCTTTTAGACCCACACGCTGACATATTTATGGATGAAATAAGATGTTTAAGATTTGCTTAAATTTTAGGGGGAGGGGGATGGGGGCACGACGAAACAATTGATCATAAATTCCTAACTGTTAAAGCTGATCTGTGTGTCCCATGGAGGTTCATTATACAATTCTGCCTAGCTTTGAATATGTTCAAAAATATCCATGTAAAAATAAAATTCTTAGAAATCAACACAAAAAGGGGGTGCCTGGGTGGCTCCGTCGGTTAAGCGTCTGCCTTCAGCTCAGGTCATGATCCCAGGGTCCTGGGATTGAGCCCCGTGTCAGGCTCCCTGCTTAGCAGGGAGTCTGCTTCTCCCTCGCTCTCTGCCCCTCCCCCCAATCCTATCTCCGCTCGCTTGTGTTCACGCTCTCTTTCAAATAAATAAAGTCTTAAAAAAAAAGAAATCAACACAAAAAGATGAACACTTTAATCTTTTTAAAAAGGAAAAAAATACACAACTGACATTTACAGAAGAAGAAATGGATAGAATCAATAGACACAAAAAATATTTAATCTCACTGGTAAAGAAATGCAAAATGAAAAAAGCCAACAGAACACATTTTTCTTCTGTCAAGTCAACAAAGCTTTGTTGGTGAGAGTGTGGGAGGAAAAAAATCGCTCTCAGTCACTGCTGGTGGGAGTTAGAATCATACATTTCTGTAGGTTAAGTCGGCGGTATTTACCAAAGCTTTTAAAATGTCCCTGTCTTTTAATCCAATACTTGCACTTCAAGAATTTATCCTGCAGAAATTACCAAATGCACAGAGATGTGCAAGGACGTTGATCACAGTGTCATTTATATTAATGAAAATTAGAAACCACATCGATATCTCAAAGTGTAGGTTAATGGAATAAGTTGCAATACAGACAAATACTAGTCATTAAGACAGTTTTGAAAAGAGATATTTGAAAACACAGGGGAATGATCATGAAATATAAAGTAAAAAGGTTAGGGGCGCCTGGGTGGCTCAGTTGTTAAGCGTCTGCCTTCGGCTCAGGTCATGATCCCAGGGTCCTAGGATCGAGCCCTGCATCGGGGGGGGGGAGGGGTCCCTGCTCAGCAGGGAGTCTGCTTTTCCCTCTCCCACTCCCCTTGCTTGTGTTCCCTCTCTCACTATCTCTGTCAAATAAATACATAAAATCTTTAGGAAAAAAATAAAGTAAAAAGGTTAAAAAGAACAATAGAAAAATATACTAGAAAAGTATATCAGGAAGATGATACACACCAAAACATTAACAATATCTTTGTGTGGTGAGAAAGCAGGTCGTTCTTATTCTCTTCTTTAGAGTATAGCATAGTTTTGATTTCTGCGGTAAATACCTATTGCTTTTACATTACATTACATACATAAGACCCATATAAAATGTTTAAGATCTTCAAATATTTGGAAAACTTGGCCAAAGTGTTCATTCCCTAAGAGATTCAGGAAAGCAAGCAATTGTATGATTTCTAAGAAAAATGTACAATGATCTCTACATCTGGGGAAACATCAGGAAGATAAATAAAAACTAAAGCTTGGAGACAAAAAATTGATATACAATTAACACATATATATAAATAGCACTTTATGGGTATAGTTGATTTTTTTAAGGTTTAAAATACTTTTTTGGGGGCGGGGGTTGCCTGGGTGGCTCAGTCAATTAAGCATCCGACTCTTGGTTTCAGCTCAGGTCATGATCTCCGGGTCATGAGACAGAGCCCCACGTCGGGCTCCATGCTCAGCAGGGAACCTGCTTGAGATTCTCCCTCTCCCTCTGCTCCTCCCCCCATGCCCATGCTCTTTCTCTCAAATAAATCTTTAAAAAATAAAATAAAATACCTATTTTTGGAAAAACAAACATTGAAACAGAAACCTTATATAAAGAACTTCTGATTACTGAAGTTTAAAGATATTGCTATAATATGTGGTATTCAGAAAAAGACTGTATTAGAAACTCTAGATTACGGACCATTTCCGGTGTCCAACTTTAAAGGTCCTCAGCGATTACTCAGTACGGTAATTAGTATATGAAATTAACAGTATCACTCAGATTATATTAAAGATTCTTTGGAAAGATTCAGGAAAGTTCCTGTCCACCTGAAGCCTAATACACATTCCATAAATTCACACAGGGCATCTTTTATATGCTGAGCCCGGACAGGCGCTGGGAAACCCTGGGTCCTCAGGGCCAGCCCCAGCAGTGGACAAACCGAGAGCCCTCTGCTCTGCAGCACGGATAGGCTGAGTGTGCTCCTGCCTCGGGTTCAGTGATGGGGAGAGCTCTCCTTCTTGGCGGTCTTCACTTGCTCTCTTCCCACAGCTGGGTGCATTTCCCCAGGCTCTAGCTTTACCCTCTTCTCCCCACTGCTTCTTCTACTTCTTTTTTTTTTTTTTTAAGATTTTATTTATTTATTTGCCAGAGAGAGAGAGCACAAGCAGGGGGAGCAGCAGGGAGAAGGAGAAGCAGGCTCCCCATTGAGCAGAAAGCCTGATGTGGGACTCGATCCCAGGACCCTGGGATCATGACCTGAGCCGAAGGCAGACGCTTCACTGACTGAGCCACCGAGGCACACCCCCCTCCCCACTGCTTCTCGGTACACACAAGACTTCAGCTATTATTTTTTCAGAGCAGACAGTCAAGTCGAAAATGTCAATCTTGACAGCTCAAGATGCCCAGTCTCCTGGTTCTCTTCCCACTGGCTGTCCCCAACATCCGTCCCTTCCTCTTTACCCCTGTGGCTGCGTCCTTGCCAACCTTCCTGCTGTCTGTGGTTCCCTGACTTCCTCACCACCTGTGAGCAACCCTCATGTCAATTCCAGAGAAGAAGTCATGCAACACCTCCAAGTTCTGCCCAAACTCCCCAATAACAATTAAGTAAATAATAATTAATAAACTAGTAATGAAGAATTCCAGGTCTTCTGCAGAATCTCCAAGTGCATCTCTAATTCCTCCCACAGCGCACCTCTCTCTTGGCTGGGAGTCTGCTGCACCATGCTTATTCCTAACCCTGAACCTTCCCCCCCTCCCCCGATGTCTCCTCTTCCCTGTCTCTATGCACAGAACCTTACCACTTGGTCAAGCCTTCTGCCCACCACTACATACACCAAACCAGACATCAAGAATGTAGGTATTTTTACTTCGGGCTAAAATAGATTCCTTTCAATCATCACACTTTTAAGTAGACAGAATGAATACTCAATTTCTGGCAAAGGGGTACCTCTTTTGCTAATCCAGAGCTGTCAGAATACCATCTCCCATCCGACTTTGTTAAAACATGGAGATAGAGACAGGGGTTCTCTAGCATCAGCCAAGTTTTCTGTCTCGAGGGCACAAGGTACCCGTATTCGTCAATGCACATCCTTTGTGTAGACTCACACACTGCCTCGTCTCTGGTATTGAAACATAGTGACAAAGAATGCCTCTTAGCAGCCAGGGGCACGCAGCAGTTCTAATCTCATGAACTGCTTTCTGTCAAAAGTACATCAGCACATATGGAAAATTCAAGAGTCTCATACAAACATGTCATATCACCTCAGTGGGAGCGGGCGAACAGTCAAAAAAAGCCTTCAAAATGCCCTCCTGCTAGAAGTCCCTATTTCTTGTCAAAAGTGACAAGGAACAAAGAGTCCCAATTACTGATCACACTCAGATTTATTTTGTACACACATTACTTACCTGGGAATGATTGCTCGAGGTCTCAATTTTCTCCTGGGACTTGTCTCTGGCTAGTTTGGCAGCTTCTTTCACCTCCTGAAATTTCTCTGCAAACTGAACATGAACAAGAGTTACTGAGGTTGTTCTCAACCTCACACATGGCTGGTCTTCAGGACCCACCTTTGTTGCTTTGCATTCATTTTAAGTCAAAAAACTCTGTATAAATACAGAAAAATAATTTTGAGATTAAAAAGAAATGAACATAAGGAATGCTTCTTCCAGTAAACTACCAGCCCGGGTCAGATCTGAATCTTTTTTTTTTTAAGATTTATTTATTTGAGAGAGAGAGAGAGAGAGAGAGTGCATGCGCATGGGGGAGAGGCAGAAGGAGAGAGAATCTCAAGTCAGCTCCCCGCTGAGCACAGAGACTAACACGGGGCTCGATCCCAGGACCCCTGAGATCATGACCTGAGCTGAAACCAAGAGTGAGCTGCTTAACTGAGCCACCCAGGCGCCTTTGATCTGAATCATTTCTAAGATGCTGAAGCTAGTTTAATAATGAAGTACTAAAAACAAACACCTCCAGTGAACAGTAACTCATAGAAATGCAGGAACATAACTATAGCTGTAGCACAGAAGGGATCCACGAAAAACTTCGTCATCTCTATGGAAAGATCCAAGAAATTCTACAATATGACAGAAACCAACAAGATCCCAAGAGTTGGGGAGAAGAAACTGTTCTAGATTTTAAAAGCTTAAGATATAAAATAGCAAAATGCAAAACAGCAAAAGGCAACATGACCGTATCCTGTGCGTATGACCGTATCCTGTGCTGAACAGACCACCTGTAATTGGGGGGCAATTGGGGCACCTGGGTGGCTCAGTTGGTTGAGCGTCTGGCTCTTGGTTTCAGCTCAGGTCGAGATCTCAGGGTCGTGGGATCAAGCCCCACTTCCGGCTCTTTGTTCAGTGCGGAGTCTGCTTCAGATTCTCTCTCCCTCTGCCCCTCCCTACACATGCTCACTCTCTAAAATCAATAAATAAAATCTTAAAAAAAAAAAAAAGAAATGCCAATGATGTTATGGTCATGAGGGAAAATGTCATTATTTTTTTTAGAGATAGATACTGAAATGTCTTGATGTCTGCGATGTACTTGAAAATACTCCAACAACAATAAAATAAATGAAGAAATGTGGCGAACGCTAACAAGGGTTAAGTCTGGTGATATGTATATGGGTGTTTATCATACGATGCTCTCTACTTAAAAAAAATGTTTCTAATATTTTCATAATAAAAAAAAAATCTTCAAATGCCAGAGCAATCAAATCAATCACGGGCTTACAGACCTTGACAAGACAACTGATTTTAATTAGCAAATACATTGTTGGAGCTGAGAACATTCTGTGATGGATGATGCTGGCATTACAAAGCAAGAGAGAGCTACGTGCGGTTGCTGAGGAACGCAAAGAGCTGGCAAGGTGCAAGGCTACCTACAATTCTACGGCTTTTGCTGAGAACGCATTAATTTCGGGGTGCGGGCTACCCTCTCAGTATCTTCACGACGCAGGCGACAGTGGTCTGCTTTGGGAAACCACACCAGATGACAGACACCGGTGAACAAGGCGCCCTGGCTGGAGCAGAGAAGGCCAGCCCTTCCGCTGCGGCCCGAGTTGCTCCTGCACGACCGTAAATAAGGCCAGAGCCACGGGGCTTCGTATTTAACCATCCCACAGCTGCAGGAGGAAAATCACGTTACTTGTTTAACACACGTGAGGTCCAGCAGGGAGGGACAGGGCCCCTCCCCACCCTGCTTCCTTTTAGGGGGCCCTTAAAGGGAACACATTGTGTCAGAAACTCCTTGATGGCAGGCTCCGTGCCTTTTCTCTCAGCATCCTTGCCAACACCTGCAGGAAGCAGGCACAAATCAGTGTGTTTGGTGAATGAAGGAACTCTGGGTTCTAGACCCACACCTCCCACCCCGGCCACTTGAGAGACAACTCACATCAAAGGCTCGGGTCTAGTCTAAGAATGGTGCAGCTCTTCTTTTGTTGGACAAATGAGAAAGTGCTCAGTGAGGAACTGTGGTTTAGGGTCTGGGAGGATTCTGCTCCCTCCTTCTGCTTCCTGAGCTTACCTGACCGGATCCACCCAGGAATAAGGCAGGGCACTTGGAACGTGCCCCTTGGAACGTGAACACTATCCCAGAAGAGGTTTTGTGCAGCCACCATAAAGACCTTTCAATCTTATTAAGACCTTAAAAGATTGGATTTGGGGCTCCTGGGTGGCTCAGTCGTTAAGCGTCTGCCTTCGGCTCAGGTCATGATCCCAGGGTCCTGGGATCAAACCCGCATCGGGCTCCCTGCTCTGCGGGGAGCCGCTTCTCCCTGTCTCACTTCCCCTGCTTGTGTTCTCTCTCTCACTGTCTCTCTCTGTCAAATAAATAAATAAAATCTTTAAAAAAAAATAAAAATGAAAGATTGGATTTTTAAAGGTCTTATTTTCAATGTTCTTGTGCCCAGTATCAATTAAAAGTCAAACGTGATTTGAAGAAAACTGTAACAGACACCCTTACTAACTGAGTCTCAGCCATGCTGTACTCAGTAAGGGGAGGGATGCCTCTCTCCCTGCAAGCATCTTCATGTTTTGCCAGGCTACTCAACCAAAAGTGCTCTCTTTTTCACAGGTCCTTCTTGTCCCTGTCAGGGTCCCTTTCTCTCATGGGTCTTATTTGAAGTTGCTTTTAAAATAGGTTGGAAATGTCATTAACCAGTGTCACGCTCATTCAGTCAACAAACATGGTCCAAGCACCACTCACTCCTTCAGTGAACAAGTGTTTCCACTGTCCCTGAGCCGGGCCGTGCACGAAGCTGGGTGCGGGGGCGAGTATACCATGCAACTATCAGATACGGCTCTGTCTCCCAGGAGGCCAAGAGTTGAGTAGAAGACGATACCGGCAACCAAGTCAGTACATAAAATTCTGCCAGGCTTTGACAGAGCAAGTCACTTCTGGACGGAGCTCGGGGCCTCCGTCCCCTCTGACTCCTACTTCAACCCTGAACATCCCTACCTGGTGAAGATCTTAGTTCTACTCTTGGAGACTCTTAGCCTAGGATATAAACCTTCAGCTCCAATGGCTTCTTCCTTCTTTGTCCCCGGACCCCTTCAGGGCCCTACGCTGCTCCCCTGGACCCTCAGGACAACCACACCTATATGTTAATAAGTTTAATGGCTTCTTAACACATGTTCTCTCTTTGGCTCCTCACCACCATTCTGTAGGACAGGGATTCTCATCTATGGTGTCCAGATAAGAAAGTGCAGCCTTAGAGAGGTGGGTCAAGCCCACAGTCACCCAGCTAATAAATGGTAAACCTGAACTTGGGCCCAGATCCGTCTTCCACATATCTGGTTGCCATCTTCTGCCAACGAGCATACCAAGGGTCTTGCCCATGGCAGTTGCTAAGTATTCACGGACTGGATTTTCCATTTGCAAAGAGAAGCCGCATAACTTTACAATGTAAAATCGAATTGTACTCGCTCCCTCTTTAAAAGAAAATTACTTATCAAGGCTTCAACTCAAAACAGGCCACGGGGAACTTTACGGCCAAGACAAGGCCCGAGGCACAGAATACCAGGTATGGATTGGGGACCCGACTAGTTCCAATTCCTCTCCCCAGCTCCATCAAGTAACTGTCCTTCTCGGTTATAAAGGGAGACTGCAAACAACCGTCACACGTATACCTAAACACACATCCCTACAGGACCGCAAAGTGATGGTGTTGGTATCAGTAACACCAGCCTAGAACATCTCCGCAAAGGGAAAAGGACACACGTTCTTGGCTCACAGGGACAAGAAGAGAAGAGCAGCTGGAGGGTCCAGTCTCACCATGCACTCCCAGCCACCCTCGGGTGCTCAGGATACAGATGGGGACAGGTGGGTCCCCTACCCGCCAACGTCACACAGGCCATCGACACCAACCCCAGACACTACAGTGTCCTGCGACGCACCTGCTTAACAGCTAGCTTGGGTAAGCTGCTCCACTCTGACCCTTATCAGCCTTCCGAATGCAGGCCACTGAACCACGCGGAGCCCCGGCCTCCTCATCTATACGATGGGGGCAATAATGTACCTCCGTGGATCACTGGAGGAGAAGAGATGGGGCTTTGCTGGGTGTGTGGCAGGTGTCCAACAAAGGGAACGCTGGTGTCTCTGGCCTTCATTTGATCAGTTTCGTCAAGTAAAATAAAAGCGAAAGCAATATAATAATAGAAAGCAATTACATGACTTTCTATCATAGCATCTGAATTGCCATGCATCATACGACCCTAACCACAACCTTCAGGAAGAGAGCACCCTTAGAGGGTGGATTCATTCACTCAGAAATAGGACCCAGTTATGGCTACGTGCCAGGGGCTGTGCTGGGGACACCGAAAGACTTAAGATTTGGTTTCTGTTCCCAGAGAAACTCTGAGTTTGTAGAGGATTTGGCTTTACATTCCAATGGGTGAGAATCAGAAAGAAAATTTCAAAAAATAAGCTTAAAATGCAATGAAGTAGGATAAACCTTATCAGATACATTTTAAATAATCATTCTAGAAGATGTGCTGTATCAGTAGATGCACAATGGCAACAGGCCCTGCCATTTATATCAACATTAGCTGGGGACAGAGGAGGAACTTACACGGATGGGAAAGATGATTCAACACACGAGTGATACAACTTTAGTAAACAGGGGGAAATGAGTTTCAATCCTTACTACAAATGAGTAGCATGATGCACTTTCAATGAGGTAAAGGGGTACGTATGTTTTTTAAAAATCTGGATGCATGGTGCGCCCGGGTGGCTCAGTCGGTTAAGCGTCTGCCTTCAGCTCAGGTCATGATCCCAGGGTCCTGGGATCGAGCCCCACATCAGGCTCCTTGCTCCACGAGGAGTCTGCTTCTCCCTCTGCCTGCTGCTCCCCCTGCTTGCGCGTGCTTTCTATCAAATAAATAAATGAAATCTATTAAAAAATAAATAAAAAACAAAAATCTGGATGCAAATGGAATTGAACATTTATCAAACTTCTGCTTGAGGTGAGAGGGTAATTATCTAAATTTGGAAGAAATAAAAGAAA